GGCCAGGCCCTGGCCAGGCAGGTCTGCGAGGGCCTGGCCATCGGCACCAGCCTGCTGGCCTACCTCGTCAACAGCCTCGTCAACGTGTGCCTCATCGGCACGCAGAACCTCTTCACCCTGGTCGCGGCCCTGTGGGACTCGGTCGCTGGCCCCTTCCTCAGAGTCACGGACCTGCTGGCTGCGTTCCTCGCGCACGTCTCTAGCGGTGCCATCGCTGTGTCCATCCTGCTGTGGTCGCCCTGCCAGCTGGCCTTTGAGGTCCTGGCCTCCGTCGCCGAGCTCTTCATCAGCATCTTCTTCGTGAATATTTACGGCCTGGGCTTGCTCCTCCTCATTATTGTTGTCAGCGCCTTCGTCTTCAACCCCGGGCTGCTGTGGACACTGACAGGCTACGTGCTGGGCTACTTCAACACGCTGCCTTCCTACCACCGCCTGCAGCGGGATGTGTGGCGGCTCTATCAGGTGGCAGTCTTGACGCTGGGTATGGCCATGACCTCCCAGGCCTGGCGCAGGTTGGTGGACTGGAGCCTGCAGGTGACCAACTGGAGCCGAGGAGGCAGAACGGTGAATCGGGAAAGCAACCAGCGAGGGGCAGCTGCGCCCGCCCTGAGACCTGCAGCCCCCGGCAGGCTCATGCTGGCAGGGGTCGGCCAACTGCCAGCCGAGGACGAGGACCGGCTGGATGCGGAGCAGGTACCACAAGCACGTCCCGCTCTGAGTCGAAGTGCTGTGGCAGGACAGCGTCTCCAGCCACCCAGGGAAGAACCAAGCACCTCCTGGGGGAAAGGTCTGAGGCGGCGGCAGCTGAATGCAGCAGCTGAGGATGGTGAGGGCACGCTGGATAATGACCCCTGGATGCTCCTGAAAGAACAAGAGGAACGTAAGAAATGTGTCATCTGTCAAGACCAAACTAAGACAGTCCTGCTTCTGCCCTGCAGGCACCTGTGCCTGTGTCAGGAGTGCACAGAAGTCCTCCTGCAGCAGGCCATCTACCAGCGCAACTGCCCGCTGTGCCGCCAGATGATCCTCCAGACACTCAATGTGTACTTGTGAGCCCAAGGGGTGGGTGGCTTGGGTCATTTTCCCAGGAGGTCAAGGAAACCCCTGTCTGCCTCTTGCCGGGAAGCAGAACTTCCCAGGGCTACCTTGAGCAACTTCCAAAGAACTAAGGGTGGTGCTGAAAGGGCAAAAGGCTGTTGGGGGTGTCTGCTAGCCACCTTTGCTACGTAACTAGATTGTAGCTCTTGCTAGCAAGCACAATAACTCGTCTCTGCAGCAGGCTGAAAGAGTTACCCTCTTTTTGTTGACAACTTTTGTTGTTTCAGAGCCTGTTGCCTTGAGCCTGCAGCAGTCTCAGGTCCAAAGCAGAGTGCAGAAAGATGCTTTGGTCCCTCCTAGCCAAAGCTGATGGAACAGTTAAAGGCTGTGCCCTCCTGGGAATCACACGGGCTTGTGCAAGGCAAGGGAGGGTTTTTCCCAAGGCCTGACCAGAAAACTACCTGGCAGACTGCATTCAGCCCTCTGTTTCCTCCTCTCACCATCTAAGTGGGGGAGCTCCCTGGGAATGGAGAACCGTGCCCTTTTTGCAAGGCCCTAGGAGAGCAACGATCACAATCGAGCTTTTTAGGCTTTGCAACCAGAGGGGTGAGCCTGGCTGTCAGCTGGAGAGGAGCAGGATTTCTGGGGTACTTCAGTATCCTGGTCACCACGGCTGGGGTTTTTGAGTTTCCTATTCCCCTTGCCATGACAACGAGAAGCTGTGATGAATGCAGGCTCCCTGCAGGCCAGCTGACTATAGAGCTCAGCGTTGCTGCCGCTTCCACGCATCACCCTATGCAAGACTAGCAAGCACACACCGGGTTACTCGCATGGGGAGGCTGGAGGGAGTTACTCTTTCTGCAGGGGCAGTGGTGCTGCTTGGGGAGCCTGAGGCTGGCCAGTGCTCACAGCCCTGGCAGCAGTAGCACACATCTGAGCCAATGCTGGAGAATCCTCTCCAGATAATTAATATTTTCTTCAGGCTCAGAGTGCCACGGAACTGGGTGGTTCATACCAGTGCTTGCTTGCTGCTTCCCGGGCTGGGCTGGCTGGAGGGAGTAACTCTTCGGGAGGAGCGGGGACGCCCCAAAGCTCCTGGGAGCCCACTGAGACATTCCAGCTCCAGGCGCAAGTTCTGCCTATCTGTGCTGTGGATCTGCAGTTGTGTGCATGGAACAGTACCAGGACCATGGCTATCTTTGATTAGGGCAGGGTTACACTGCTGTTCTGTCTTACTGTCTGTCAGAAATGTAGCTAGTTTTATTTAAAAGTGTCCCCTGAAGTCTAACGAGAGCATCCGACCCTGGCTGGGGAGGCCTGGGATGGCTCATCCCAGCTTGGTCAACCAGCACCATTCCAAGAAATTGCTGGGCCACGAGAGCGCCTTTTCCTTTTCCAGGTGCTTGCCTGAGGTCAGCCACGCGCCACAGGCAATTTTGGCTGGAGCCAGACTGGAAAGAGTCTTGACTCCTGGACTGCATGCCAAGAGCCTGAGGGCGGCTGGCATGGTCTTCCTTCTCTATTCTCCTTGATTAGTGATTTAAGCCAAAACAGAGACGGCAGAGAGGCCAGGCCATGCTGGGAGACACCTGTGCGCTATAAACCTGAGCTGTGGCAAGATACTATCTTGTTGGAGAGTGGCTTTGCTCTGGGAGGCACTGCAGGGGCTGGTTGCCTCCCACGTTTGCTGGGGGCTGGAGGGACCCCCTGGGCAAGCTGGGTGTTAGAAGGGCCTGGCCCCAGGGCTGTCAGCTGCTTCCAGCTGACTTCTCGGAGATGCAAAGCTCCCTGCCCAAGCCCTGTTGCCCAGCCTCTTGTCCCTGTGCCTCCCCAGACACATACCGCCCAGGTGAGTGTTTGCTCTCTCCAGCTGCCTCTCCTGTGGCTGCCGCCAGTGACGCTTGCAGCAGAGTAGCCAAGCCCGTGCCAGAGCAGTGAGTGCAGCCCCAGCCCGGCTCATCGCAGGCACTGGCAGAGGTCCTCCTGCAAGAGGAGACAGGGAGCTGCACCCTTCCCCGGGTGTGCCTCTGGAGACAGCTGGCAGGGGGAGTATGGCCACGCTTCTGGCTGCGGGCAGTAGGGTTTGGTCAGGACCCGCTCATTGATCTTGGGGTACAACATTTCCTACGTGAATTACGGGGGGGGAAGGACATCTCCCCAGGACTGCAGTTTCTCCCCTCAAACCATTTTTCTATTATAGCAGTCACGCTTATTGTTTTTAGGGCCTGTTTGTTTGTTGCCTGTTTGTAAGAAAAGAGAAAGCTTTGCCTTAAGTTTAACTCTTTGCACTAGATACTGAGCAGATTAAAGTCTCCTTTACCAAAAGCTGCCTACTGCCTCATTCTTGGGAAGGGGGATGGGCCTCTCTCTCTCTCTCTCGCTCTCTCGCTCTCTCTCTCTCTCTCTCCTCTCTGCTTATCCCTGGGCTCTAGAGGAAGCCCATCACTTCCCACCAAGGGTCAGAGCCAGAGGGCCAACAATCTCAGGGGTACTTGGCGGGGGGTGCCTGCACCCAGAAAAGCAGTGCTGTGGGATACCCTGGAGCCAGGCTGGTGCTCAGGAAAAGCTTGGCACCCAGGAGATGAATCTACACCTGAAGACACAGTGGGTGGGTTTGCCAGGGCTGGCATCCCCCAGCCCCTGCTCTGCTAACCCACAGCAAGAGGAGGTGGCTGTGGACACGCCTGTGCAAGGCGGGCAGAGAGCACAGCTTGTGAGGCACCAGTGCTAATGTCTGCATCTTGCCTAGAGATGTGTTTGGTGCTGCAGCCTCTTCTAGGCCCAGGAGCAGGCAGAGCAGCTGGGGTAGCTCCTGCTGGCAAGGGCCCAGGACTGCTGGGCATCTTCACTCCTAACTCTGCCCACTGTGAACTGCTTAGCAAGGAGAGAAGCAATGGCTGCTTTGCAGAGGGGCTCGTACACACAGCTTCATCTCTTTTCAGGAGCAGTTCTGCTCTGTACTGGAGCAAAGGGATTTGTGCTCAGGTTCTCCAGAGCTGGAGCTCCCCAGGGCCTGAGCAGCCCAAAGCAGAGGGGCTGGGATTTCCCAGGGTGGCAGGAATATGCATGGGGATGTGTAATCCCCGCACCTTGACGTCCTGCCACTTGCGATGGAAGGTGTTCGCAAGCCTGACTGTCTCGGGGTGGAGGCAGCGCCTGAAGCACTAGAAGTTGCAGAGTAGCAGGCAGCACAGGGCTCTGCCTTGCCTCTCAGAAAGGCTGTGGCAGGTTCAGCCACGCTGGGCCACTGATGAGCAGATGCATTTGCTGCCCAACAAGTTATTCCCTGGCCACGATCTGAGCTCTTGGCAGGTTGCTGTGTACTTTTAAGTACTCTTTGCTTCTCCGGCATCCTTGTATATTGTTTGGAAAAATGTTTTGGGATCCTGACAGGCAGAGACCCCAGGAGTTCTGGCTCACCCTGCCCTGAACTCACCTGCCTTGGCAGGGCCATGCCAACAAACTAGCTAATTTTCACCAGGATGAAAACCACAGTGGGGAGAGGGAGGCTGCTGGGAGGTCAGGAGGAGAGGGATGTCTGCTGCAGGAGTGCAGCTCTGCCAGGCACAGTGCAGGCATGGGAAGGAGGGCCACGCCGGCAGCCTGCCCAAGCCCTGTGGCGGTCTGGCTGCAGACAGGTGACAACTGGGGAAACTGAGGCACTGCTCAACCTTCCTCTCTTGCTCCCACAGTGTGCGAACCGAGGCAGGCTGGGCATCTGGGGAGGCTGCAGAGCTGCCCTGGGGCAGGAGGACTGGGCCAGCACAGGAATGTCTGCCATCCCCTGCGCTGACAGGTTGCTCTCAGCCCACCACCCCCTCAGCCAGCCCCGGCAGAGGACAGAGAGGGTGTTCAGCTGCCTCAGGCCACTGTGGCGGAGCCTGCTAAGCGAGGACAGGATGTGAAGGACACAGCCTCCCCCTGGGAGCCATCCTGCACGCACTTGGCTCATTTGCTGGCCAAGCAGCAAGCAATTACAGGAGGAAAGTGCAGCCACCTCCCAGCTAATGGGCAGCATGTAGGGTCCCTGAGACTGATGGTCAGGCTATGCCAGACCTACCTGCTCTGGCACTGTGGCTTTTGGTGCAGGGCTTCATTGCCTGGGGAGGGTGTCCAGCAGCAGCAATGCTCACAGACAAGTCCAGGGCATGAGATCTGGAGCCCCTGGGGGTACTCCCTGCTCCAGAGCTTGCTCAGGAGCCTCATACGTGAGCCGAGTGGACTGGTCTCAGCTCATTACAATGCCAAGACCCTTCTCCCTTCCCCAAGGAGGGAGGAGCATGATGCTGCTGGGTTACTCTGGTTTAGAAGCACTGGGGTGGGGGGGGCAGGCTGACAGCTTGCTGAAACTAGCCCCCACCCCAGGCCCTGGGAAAATTCCCGGGATCCCTTTGTCAGTGCAGCTGCAACACCCCAGCCCTAATGAGCCGCTAGTCCCAGCCTGGAGACAACAGCCATCGCCTGCCTGACAGCAGGGAGCTGGCACAACAGATGCTCGCTGCAGATGCGCAGCAGCATGAGCAGCTAATGACACCAGGCCAACAGGGAGGGAGCAGGTGATGATCAGCAGCCGAACCGTGGGGGGCCTTTGGGCTGCTCCTGGGCACCAGCTTTGCTCCCTCATTAGCCGCTCGGCACAGGGAGCCACATCGGCTCCCTGAACACAGCAGCAATCCCAGTGCTTCAGAGCCGCAGTGCCGTGTGTGGTGAGGCCTCAGGGACACAGAGTGGCTGAGGCTGGCAGGGACCTCAGGACGATCCAGCCCAGCCCCCTGCCCAGGCAGGGGCGGCTAGAGCAGGTTGTGCAGGACTGTGGCGAGTCAGGTTCTCAATACCTCCACGTACAGAGACTCTACTACCTCTCTGAGCAGCCTGTGCCAGGGTTTGGTCACCCTCACAGTAGAAGATGGACAGCCCTTTGCTGGACTCCCTCCAACATGTCCATGTCTTATACTGGAGCTCAGCACTGGACCTAGCACTGCAGCTGTGCCTGACTGGTGCTGAGCAGAGGGGAA